CTGTTTTTCTCGCCCCCGAACAGCAAAGCCGGATCGAGGACCGCCTGGAGAGACTGGACGACGCCATCCACGTGCTGCGCAACCACGCGGTGGGGCCCGCCACCGCCATGCCGGGGGGCCATGCCGACATGCACGGCTTGATAGGGCCGTCGCACAACGGAGCCATGGCTGGGCTGGGGTCTGGCTACGGCACCGGCCTGCTCTCCGCCAACCGGCACTCGCTCATGGTAAGCCGCGGGACTCACCAGCAGCGCCGGGGTGAAAAACTAACCGACTTGGAGGGCTCGGGGAGGGGGAAGGAAGGGAGGGATGGGTGTAAGGGTCTGCGAGGGCTTGCAGCTAATGTTACGCACCAGTGTGTGCACGCGTATTCGTGGAGGGAGTGATGCTGCCTTTCATTGGCGCAGTGTGTACGTGTGAGCTGTTGTACAGGTACAGATGCGTGTGTGTGCGTTTCACTCTGCTGCCAGTGAGTGCAGCCATTTCTGTTTGCCCCTGCCTGTGCCTTCAGCGCGGCCGGCACGACTCCTGTCACTGGTACCGCGCTGCTCGGCTCCGCGTCCGGCCTCCTTAACCATCCCTGCTGACCTGCCTCGATGGCTGGGGGCACGGTGCACCAAGAAGTCACCGGCAGGCACCGCCGTGGGTGTCTGAGCAGCAGCCGCCCCATGGCAGCGGGCAGGAGCGTGCCGGTGAGAGCTGCTCCATGGCAGCCACCAGGAGCATGCCAGTGAGAGCTGCCCCATGGCAGCGGGCAGGAGCGTGCCGGTGAGAGCTGCTCCATGGCAGCCACCAGGAGCATGCCAGTGAGAGCTGCCCCATGGCAGCGGGCAGGAGCGTGCCGGTGAGAGCTGCTCCATGGCAGCCACCAGGAGCATGCCAGTGAGAGCTGCCCCATGGCAGCGGGGCCGGCACATACCAGCGAGAGCAGCAGCGAGGTCGGGCTCTCCCGTGCCTTTCCATCAGTGGTTCACGTGGCCACGCTTCAGGGGCCGCCTACACAGCCCCAGTTTTCCCTTCTCATGGCCACGTGCACAGAGGTGCAGATTGTGTGTGTGTGCGTGCATGCATGCCAGGGGGGCATGGGGGGTGTGAAATCTTCAGGGGTTCATTTATTCTTTGATTTCCAGGCCAGGTGAACATAAACTCACTGCCCCTGCCCAGGTCCTGAAATGCTTTTCCTTTTTCGCTTCCAAAAAGATTTCAGTAGCGCTGGGTTTCGCTCAGGACCCACCACTTGCTTGGGAAGCTGGGTGCAGTTTTTAGCGTGAGGCGCGGTTTTGGCGTGCAGGGCTGGAGAAGGTTTAGGGAATGAGACCTAATCCTGTCCTTGTTTTAAACACATGCTTAAATCTGGAGGGAGAAGGTAGTTCAGAGTTGGAGCTCTGTGTTTCACTCTGGATTACGTGACCCTTCTCCGGCGTGAAAGAGCCGGTGCGCAGAAGCCTGGCTCTGCAGACCCTCCTCGGGCTCGTGAGCTCGGGCTTGCCTTGCTGAGTCCCCGGTCTGTCGGTGCTGCCTGGCTGAGCGGTGTGGCACAAAAGCCGATGGCATCAGGTCTGTAATTTGCCTTGTGTGCCCCACTTGGGTCTCCAGGACAGACATCTTGCACTTTGCAAAGGAAATACTTTGCAGTTGCTTTCTCTGTTGCAAAGGAGAAGCGTGTCTCTTCAATCTTTTTCTTTCTTAGTATGTCAGAAGAATAATAAGGAAGACCATTTAACACAATGCATTTGAGTCTACAGAAATGTTAAAGTCCCTCAGCAGAAGTTAATGAAAAAATAACAGTCCTGCAGGAGCTGGGAAGGAGCAGTTCTCGATTAGGAAGCGGCAAAGTTGCGCACGTGCGGAGCTGGACTAGATCAGTGCACTCCTCAATAGGATTAAAAGGCGTTCGGTTTGATACTTCCAAATTTCATTCCAGAAATAGAGTTGCTTACTCACACGTGGAATGGAGGAAGGGAACAAGGAGTTATCGGGCAGTATTTTCAGATGGTTCAAGCTATTTAGGTTAATTAAGACGAGGGGAAAATATGCAGAAAGAGAAAGGGACCTGACAGATCCCTGGCCAGCTCGCTGCTGCGCGGCGCTGGGGAGGACTAGGCTTGATCCCCTGCTCATCCCACACGCTAAGGGCAAGGCAGGGCAGATTAGAAGAAAGAATTTCAATTAACCATATACATATAGGGAGGGGAGCGTATGCCTCTGCTCGAGTCGCGTGGAAATTTCTCCTCGGCGTGCAGGAATCCCTAAAACCAAGACCAAAAGCCCATTGAATTGCAAAGGCGCTTGAGAAAGGACACCAAAACTGATGGAGCGGCAGTATATGCCTTGGGTATATATATATAACTGATGGAGCGGCAGTATATGCCTTGGGTATATATTTATGTATACGTACGTGCGGGTATACCTTCCCTGGAGCTGTCTTCTGTTTTTGGTTTTCCTATCTCAAAAAAAGCGTAGTGGAATTAGGAGGAGTTCGGGGACGATTGCAAGCATGGAAGGATTTTCATGTGAAGGGAGGTTGAACAGATTGTGGTGATTTTGTTTAGAAAGGAGATGAATAAGAGGAGACATAATAGAGGTACATAGAATAATGGACAGCATAGAGAAGGTAAATCTAGCTCTCCTATTCATCCTGCCTTATAATTAAAGAACAAGGGGACATTCAGTGAACCTGACAAAAAGAAATACTTTTTATTCAACACACAATGACCTGTGAAATTCATTGCTCCAAGATGTAATCAAGGCCAAACGTTCAGAAGCATTCCAAATAGGATTAGGCATCATATGGAAAATGCAAACATTTAGAGTTTTATTTGACAGGATTCAGACAGGATTCCTCCCTTTTTTTCACAAGGGAAGGGGAAAAAGAAAGAAAAAGAAAGAAAGAAAGAAAAACTTTGATGCCCGAGTGTGACGCAACTGCTAGGGGAAGGAAGGAGCTTCTTCTGGTGGCCAATTATTTGATAATTGCCGTGTCCCCCGGCCTGGGGATGCCCCTGCGCTAGGCGCCGTCGTGATGGTCGGGGAGGTGATTATAAAATAATGAGCCTCCGGCGGTACTGGGAGCACGGCTTTATTCAGCAGGGCCGTTCCCGAGCCTCCTGCGATGCCGGGGAAGTTCTCCGGCGGCTCCGCCGGCCTGGCAGGCGATGCTCCTCCGGGGGCCGAGCCGAGAGCTTTCGGCCGCTCTCCATCCCACCCGGGGCACGGCTCCGTGGCACGCTCCGTCTCCGGCCGAGGGCACGGGTTTACGGCTAAGCTTGAGTGCTGACCGCCATCCAAAGCCTTCACAACTGAGGTCTGCCATCTCGTAGGGAAATTCAAATATCCCAGCTGTCTCCTGCTTCCCCGCTGCAAGAAAAAGTCTGCTTTTCAGGTATCCGTACCCAGCTATCCTTGACCAAACGGTTCTCCCCTTCACGCTTGTCCACATGCAATGCCCTCGGCTAAATATTTGCCCGTGGTTCCTGCTGCTTCAGGTGACTAAAAGGTAACATCAGTTGCTGAAATTAAGCACCTGAGAAAGGAAAATAAAGAGAGGTTTTGTTTATGTTTTTTATGGGGCAGCTTTGTGACAGGCTCTGCTCCTCGTTAAATGAAATGTTGGTAAAAGTGACTCTGTCGTGGGTAAAATATCATTCAAAGCCACAACTGAGACTGCGCCATTTGCAGATTCAAAAAAACGTGAAGTGTTAACTGAAAATGGTCTGGTGAAAGACTCCGAGAGGTAAAAAGATGCTTTTTCAGCAGCTCGGTTAAATCCATCTCCTCTGCCCTTCCCCAATAAAATTAGCATGAAGCAGACATTGTTTTGCTCTCCGTGGCAGTCGCGGAGAATTCACAAAAGGAAATTCTAGATTGTAATTTAGCTTGGCCTCAGGTAATATGTTAAATACACTTGGGATACATATAATCTAAGATTTTAGCTTGTACAAAGCTATTTTTTCCTCCAGTGTTTAAACAATACTGCTTTTAATGAAGAAATCTGGCTTTATTAAAAGCCAGATCTGTGACTTACAACTGTTTCTGCATATCTGCTCTCAATCAAGAGAAAAGAGTTTAATTTTTGTAGCTTTGTTCGCTTTGCATATGTTAAACTGATGCAACATGCACCCAGGGCATCACTTCAGAGACAGTTTGTTCCATAAATATGTGCTCCTCGCTTAAATACCAGATGTAGGTGAAGTTAGATTGAAACAAAAAAGGCAGCAACAATGAGAAATGGAAGCGCCGGTGTCGTGTGTCTTAAAAAATGCTTTTGTGTTTTTAGGAATAGGTAGGCTCTTGCTTTTTCAGGAGAAATGCCAAGTGATGGGGTCTGGCTGGCTTTGTTCGGACTTGGCTAAATAAGTTTATGGTCGGAGCAAGGTAACGGAGCAGGAGGATTCGGATGCGTTGAGAGCAGCGCCGCTGCTGCAAACAAGACGGGGACATGTCTCTGAAAACCCAGAGTCTGCCGCGTTCCCAAGCAGCATTACTCACTGTCTGAAACCGTAACTTGGGTGAAAGAGTCGGGCCCGAGAATTTCTTTTGGAAAACTGGTATGAATTTTGAAGTAAAAACATAAGAACAAAGGAAATAGTTTTTGAGTAGAGTCAGTCTGAAGTTAGCCTTTGACCATTTGATACATTCCACGCTGAAAAGGAAGTTGAAGGGGGAAAAAATTAAAAAAAAAAAAAAAATCAAGGAGGATACTGGTAATGTTTTCCACATTTGAATTTTAGTACATGAAACAGGCTATAAAAGGCCGGCCAGCTGCAGTAAATAAAGTAGCAGTGGGAGGTATGGACCGGAAACTTGTAGAGAGCGCTGGTGGAAGCGGCTGTGCCCACCGCGCACCTCCGCGCGCTGCCCGAGCGCGCCGGGGCGGCCCCGGAGCCGCCTGCCCGCGTTCTCCCTCGCGCAGCAGATGTGCGCCTTTGCTCCCCAGACGAAAACAAGGCAGAGATGGGTCAGATGCTGCTGGAAATGGGAATCGAGTGCTCCGGTTTTCATGGAAGGAGGCCAGGTTTACAGCTGTGCAGCTGGGAGCAGAGGTCTGCTCCCTGCGCGCCCGGTTTGCTAGAGCGGGCTGTCTTAAAAGGGATTTCCTATTTTACATTCCCTCGCCTTTTTTATTAGTGGCCCAGTAAGGAGAGCATTTAAGCATTTACCAATTTTTAGCAGGCCCCTGGAATTTGCTGGTGTCCCTGTTTCTAATTTCCCTTGTGCCATGAGCAAA